AACCTTCAAAATCCTCTTAATCCTGTCCTCTGGGGATAAGGCATAAACAGAGACTTCTTCAGTACTCTTCTTCATGCCATTTCACATACTAGTGTCTATTCGATGATTCAAAATGGATGAAGTTGGGCTGAATGTTTTGGCAGCATGTTTTACAAAATGTGCTTTTCAACTGCAGCAGTTGTTCTTGGCACGTACTTACTGTGAAACAGGTTTCCAGGTTTTTATTTGTTGCCCCACATTGACTCTACTGGAACTGGTTTTTCCGGATTATTTGAGGAGTTTCTGTGTCCTGAAGGCGGCGACCTGTTTGTTAGGGGCAGAGAACTATGGCAGGTGGATGAATGTTTGCCTCTCCTCTTGTTCCTGCAGCTTGTATGTTCTTATTCATTGAACTGAACACATTTCCCAACAGTTTCCACAAAGTGTCAGGTTACAGACTGTCTTTAAGCAAAGGTAATATTAAGAGCCAAAGCCAATGGAGCAGTCATTGACCCTGCAGCGTCAGTCTGGTATGCGTTCCTCAACTTAAATATTTTTCTCTTAAGAATGAGAGTCTGGAGCTGTTTAAAGACCACTTAATGCTAACAGGGCAATTTTAGCAGTGCACTTAATCACATAAGTATTGTTTTAAAGCCTGAAAAAAAAACATGATTCTGGGTTGTTATCCGTAGGCTTCAAGGACATGAACTTTAAAATGTCAAAGTGGAATATAACTACTATTATGTTCAGGAGATGCTTTTAATAAAGGCTGTGTTATTTCCACTTTGTAAAACTCCAGAGGTGTGTGACAAAAATATACTGTGATTTTTGTTTTTTCAACATAATTAAGAGAACAAAAAAGAAAACATGTCTGTACTTGCATAGACGGGCGTGTGGGTGTAGATGTCTAAGTTTGTGGAGTTTCTTTGCAAAGAGTCAAAAACTGAGACATTAGTTTTGGATGTGGGTGTTTTGGTTAGGAGTCAGAGAGACTAACCACTGTTGATATGTGATGTATATAAAATGTCTGTCTTACACACATTTATATACAATACTCCTCACAGTCTTGGTTCATTGCCAGAAACCAGTGCAATGTTGGTGTTAGTTACTAATGGGAAAAAGTGAAAGCAAATCATGTCCTTTTTGTAGCTTTGTACAGAAAAACCCTCTCATGAAAAACTCTGATATAATCCCATAGTGTAATTACTGTAATCACTCTTTGAGTGCTAGGGTAAATGCACATGTGCTGGACTTGGACACATGTACCAAACATCAGCATCTTTAGCAACATATCCTGAAGTAAAGGTGAGGCTCCCTAACTTACTGCAGACAATTATTATTTTTTACCCATTTGCTAAATAATTGAGGCATAGTAACAATTTAACTACGGATGTCTCAATTCAGTTTAAGGTTATAAAAGTGCAACTAGAAAAAGGTTGAATTTTAAAGTTCAATTTTAAAATTCTAATTGACTGTTGTGAAAAAAGTCTAAATATCTTAGAACAGGATAATTTGTATAAATACATTTTTGGTCAGTAAAAGCATAGTTAGTTTTGGGGTCAAAAAAATTATGTGGTATTTTAAGATTCTAGAATTCCTTTAGATGAAATAATATGTTGTCTGAACTGATCTTACAGGCAGTGTTAGATATAGTCGAGAACAAAAGTTGAAGGAAGTAAAGACAAATTGCAAAATCAAATATGTGTGATGTTGGATCATAGAGTTGTTAATGCAAATATTCAAAGGAAAGTTTTTGATTTAATTTAAAGATCAGAAGATTTTGGAGGAACTTGTTAAATGTCAGATGTGTTTGTATTCAATGCTTTTTCTGATTTTCATTGCTAGAAAAACCATATAAGCTAGACACAAGGTATTTTACATTTGTTAGTAACTGATATAACCATTTGCATTAAAACACACCAGATGCAGGTGACACAATGTGTCACCTGCATCTGGAAACGTACCTAAAAATTTCAAAAGACTTATAAAAATCAATAATGTTTCAAAAATGATCATTATTAAACCTTTTAGAGAGCTGATTTACTTTTTATTTATCTGTCTATCTATCTATCTATCTATCTATCTATATATATATATATATATATATATATATATATATATATATATATATATATATATATATATATATATATTAAACCTCATTCATATTCTTAATAATCAATTAGTTTAGAGATAGCCTTGTGGCTGTAACAGAAAAACTGTAAAATAAGTTTAAAGATTATTGGCAGAAAATGTAAATTATTATTGTTAAAATCATGGGGTAGAAAATATTGACTTTTTATGCCTTTTCCAAATATTAGGATAAAGTATATTAACTAATTTATTTTTGTGTTTTGACACACTGTGGATTTTTATTGTTGCCAAATGTAAAAAAATTTCAAAAAATGTTACTTTTACTGAGACTTTTTTTTGCCTAATTTAACTTTTAGTGTTTTTCTACTCTGAGGGTTAATGTTGCTTTGTGTATTTTATTTTATGTTTTTTCAGAAAATACAGAAATCATCAACTGTAGGAACCATCACTACAAGAATAGAAACGATCTCTTGTCTTCCATCATCGGCCAGCTTTGCCTTGAAGATGATAAGGCTGCTAATAATAAGAGCCTCAGCTGCTTGTGCTCACTCTTGACAGAGGAAGTAATTAAGTTCTAGCAGTTTATCAATGGTCAGCCGGAGATTTGCTGTCTTTGGGGTGATAAAGAGAAGCTATGGGGTGTAGTGAGGCATGCCCTTACTCTCAAGTGTCCACTCAGTGCTATTTTTCATTTAATCTCACCCTGACTTTGACTTGTTCTCTTTTCACTATGCATAGGGGAAGCCCAAAGCGGGTCAAGGCTGAGAGCCTTCTTGTCAATCACCCCCAGAAACACCCCTTCCCCCACTCTCCTCAGATGTCCAATAAGACTAATTTTAGCTTGTTGTGAAATTGGCACAGAGTTCCTAAGCGTGCCACCGTTTGGATCTATTCGGACTGGCCGTGTGCTTAGAAAGCACGTTTCGTCTCCTGTTTTCTTTTGGCACAGATGTTCCCATGTGACTTCTATTTTACAGAGATCCGGATTAACATTGGCATGGGTATTTGTTGGGAAGGCAGCATAGGTGCGGGTTTTAAAATGCCTTTCCATTTTTAACCTTCAGAAAGTAGTCGACTTATGCATCTCGTTGCATATCTGAGCATCATGAAATTGCACAGAGGTACATGAAGTCACTGCTGTTCAGACAGCTTAGTAACACCATGGAAAATGAAAATAACACTGAAGCTATGACAGATCATAATGATGTGTATGAATTAACCTTTTAAACTGTTCTATAACTTCCCACTATCTGGATTTAATATAGCTACATCTAAATAGCCCCTGAGTAATGTTATTATAGAAGTATAATATATAGAGAGGCTGGCAACTCCAGAACAAGAGGAGCTACAGATCTTTAGCTAATAGCTGCAATTCAAAAATATGGCCTTAATGGAACATGGCAAGAATAAAACTATTGTTTCACAAAGCCCATAAGAAATTGTGGAATGTGGAAGAAGTTACTTCAGTCAGATGAGACCAACATGTCATTTTTTGCCTACAAGTATAATCTTACGAATGGCAGGAAATCTAATATATCACATCACCCTTAAAATACCATACCACACTTAAATGCTGTAGCAAATGGATCATATAGTACAACAGGAATACATTCTTCAATAACAAAAGTGATGCAACATGGTGGAGCTAAATACAAAACTAAATACAAAACAGCCATGGCAAAAAAAAAACAGTTAGAGGCTACAAATCACATGAAGGTGGGACTCAACAAAACAGCCACACTCAACCAGAGACACATAATCATAGCAGCGTTCATATGTAAAACTTGCCCAGTCAAATCCAACAGAGGAGCTGGTGAGAAAAAAAAAATAATAAGTCTAAATTACCCTAAACTATTTTAAAAAGAAAAGGTTGTGTACATATTATTTTAAGATTTAAATTAATATGACATTTTTATTTGTCAAACTTTAATTAACCAGAAAAATCTCCACTGAGAATTCAATATTTTTTTTCTCGAAAGAAATATAGCAAACTGGCATAGTAGTTACTGTACTGGTTTAAAGTGGTTCTACAACAGCTTTTGATCACATTTTTTGAATGTGGAAGAGCTGGTTATAAGCTAGGATAATTTTCAAATATGACCTAAAAAAAGCCCAGAAAGATACAACCATTGATCCATAAAATCTTAAAGCTTATCCTATTCTTGATAGAGTAAGACCAGAATGATTTGAGGATCAGCAGATCTTTCCACTGCAAATAAGGTAACTCTTGCCAGTAATAACTTAAAGATTAAGAACTAACCCTTTAACACAGAATTGCACATCACTTTCTTTATTATTGTTTGTTGAAATGATTTAAAATTCTCATACTTATGGACTACTTTTGAATAGAATAGAATGGCTAGCAAATGTTAAAAAAAAAAAAGGTTTAAGGGGTATGAAAACTTCAGCAAAACAGTGCAGGAAGGCTTGGAAATACAGAATTTTATTTGAGAACTTGATTCTGAGGTACAAACAGGAGAGGCTGAAAAATGGGATCCTTTATTCTTTGAATATTACATAAATGTGTTACATCTTTTTTTATCTTACCATGCAGAGGTTGACCTGCAGCTACAGTTGGCCCCCACTTAAATATGTTTCTTTCCATGCAAACGCATTTGTTTGTCTGGCTGGGTTTTAATCTTCACTACAGAGGTTGCCTCAGGATGAATATGTTATAAAACGAAGACGCTCAATGCAATATGAAACCAAATCATTTTACTATGAGAGAATTTGCAATAAACTAACTAGAAGTATTTGGGCTTTTGTTTACTTTAGTAAAAAGTGATTATTTTTCTAAGAATTTTTTAACTAAAGTTTTAAACGAGATAAACACACTCTGTGATGATCAAATTAAGTCTTTACTTCCTAAGGCCACAGAAAAGATGATTGCATAATCCTCTGTGTGTATGTGTTTCATATTTTAACAGACAGTGAGATGCTCCCTTTGGACTGCTTGCGCCCTCGTTCCTTTCCTGCCAGCCATCGATCTTCAGTTCGGAGGAACAGTCATGACCCTCGCCTCACCATCAGCCTGTGTGACCTGAGCCTGCAGCAAGAGATGCAGCTGGAAGAAGAGGATGAGGGGGAAGAAGAGGAACCACTCCAGCCCTCTTGCCATATTCCTCAGAACTCCCAGAACTTGCAGCAGTGCTCTCTGCTGCCCAGCCACTTGGACACTGATCTACAGTTTCACTCTGTTCATGGCCTCCATGTTACTCCACTCGATACGCACACAATGGCTCGACCAGATCAGCGTGGAGATGAGAGGACCCTGGTGTTTACCAGCCGCCCAATGCACAGTTCAGAGACTGTTTTTGTGAAGGTGAAGAAAGGAGCCACGCGGGCAGGGTCTCTTTCTTACGGTGTGACTTCTTGTGACCCCGCCACCCTCAGGCCCAGTGATCTCCCATCAAACCCAGAATCCCTGGTGGACCGCAAGGAATTTTGGGCCGTGTGCAGGTTGGCTGTCAAACTCCACAGCGGGGATATTCTGAGCTTCATGGTGAACTCAGATGGCGAGCTTATGATGAGCCATAATGGGAACAATGCAGGCATGCAGCTGTGTGTCGATAACTCCAGACCACTCTGGATGTTCTACGGTCTACATGGCTCCATCACACAACTCCGAATTTTAGGTATTCAACTTCCTTTGTTTTAATCATTATTTTGTCAATTGTCATATATATAATATGCCACTGTGTTTTTCTTCCTTTTTACCTTAAAACTAAATGCAGCCCTAAACATCACCAATCTTTGAAATGGTATGCACAGAAGAAAAAAATAACCAATAAATAAATTAGTACTTATTATAGAAGTATTGATAACAGATAGTTTTGTTTAAATATAATTAATCACAATACTTCAACTACTGCTTCTATTACTAATGCTAGTGTTCTGAACCCATAATTCTTGGCTCCTAGGTCTGATAAATTCAGTTTAAGTAGAAAAAATTATTAACTGTCTTTCAGAAAATTGGCTGAAAAAATGTTAACTTAGGACTCTGTCTTGAAATCAGTTTAAAGGCTTTATAGTTTCCAGTTATATTTTCCTGATAAAATGTGACGGTCCTGGTGTTGATACACTCTGGGAAGAGAAATCTAAACTAAAATTTAAGAAAATACCTGCTTGCTTTGAGGTGGAAGGGGTATAATTGGATTTTGGTCAAACAATTTGACTTGAATGGTAAGTTTTAGTATTATCAACAGGCTAACTTTTAATTTCCCTGCTGTCTTCCAGAGATCTACAAAGGATGTCATTTACAGCTCTCCATTCAGAGGTTAATGTAGTTTAGGACTGTTAAATAACCTTTTACTGGCCTAATTCCCGCTCTTTCAAATCATAAAAAAGTTTCTCATCATTTGCTGTCTTGGCTGCACGTTGACTTTTTATCAATGCAAATATCAGCAAAAAATTTGAATGTAGTTATATAAATTTGAATATGACTGTTAGCTTTGGGCCTTCAGTTAAACAGACATTTTGTCACGTTTGTTTTGTTCCAGTAGATCACATTTATTGATTTTAGGCTTAACTCCTTTTTTTTCCAGAGATTACCCATCAAATCTAAAGTTTCTTAAAATGTAGTCAGAACCCCCATAATTTTTAGGACCTCTAATAAAGATTACCGGTAGATTAGATGAGCTTTATTGATCTTACAGCGGATAAATTCACTCGTCACATATTGGCATAATAATAACAGAAGGTGCAAACAAGGAGGAAAAAGGTGCATTAAGAATAAACAATATATATACAGTATATCCAGGTATGGTATATACAGTATATCAAGATAAATAAGGATTAGGGTGCAAGTGTACATGTATCGTCCCACAATGAAAAACAAAATAAAAATAAGAAATACAAAATAAAAGTAAACATGTCTAAAATCCTCAGAATTAATGAAAATAGGATATTTTCATAATGGAAATTAAAAAATATCCAACATCACATTGGATTTTAGTACTTTATTAATAAAAAGGATTACACAAGTAGATAATTGCCCATCACCAGATAACAATTACAAAATAGCATTTTAATAAACCAATAAACCTAATAATCATATTGTTCAAGTATGGAATGAAGCAGGGAAACCAGAGAGAAACCACACAAGGTCAGAGGGAAAACCCAAACTTCACTCCCATAGACAATCAGGCTGGGACCTAAACCTGGGAATTTAACACTGGTAGGCAAGATTGTATACAGAGACCTATGAGATAAACACACTGGAGTTGGTAACCTATATGTATATACATGTATATGTATATACATGTATATATATAAAATAAATAAAGATGACTTTTACTGAAAATTGACAAAAATTGAATTGAATGGTTGTCCTAGTTTTCCTCCTATTTTTTTCCTGGGTGCTCTGCTCTCCTCTCCAATCTCCCATGCAGTCAGCCAGACCAACAGCTCAGGAGGGTATTTCTGTCTTGCGTGGGCTCCCAGCAGCCAGCATTATGTACCAGAAGGGAGCCTGTGATAGTTTCCTATGATGCCCTCCTGATGCATTATTAAACTATAATTGCATAGAGATTTGCTGTGCAGGGTTTGCCACCCACAGCCAGTTCAACTAACACTAGCTTCATCTCTGTAGTTCCTTACTTTTTCTTCTCCCCTTATGCAGTTTATTTAGCAACCCCCCACACCCGCTACATACACCCACACACACCCACATTTGCAAACACAACCATCACTCCACTGTGCTTCTCTGGGGTATGTCCCTGGAGTCGTTACCCACTCCAGCTGTGTGTGGGGGGTGATGCATTTGTGACGGGATGTCTAAACTCACCCACACCCGCTTCAGTTGCATGGTATATGTTGCTATGGAGACATGTGGCAACTGAAGCAAGTGACAGTTTTGTCATGGGTGGGTGCTGTCAAGCCTGTGAGGTGGAACAGATGGGAGTCTGCTGCTGTCACATGGTCACTTTGTCTATTTTCTATGATTTAACTATTTCATGCTAGATATTTAAATACACTGATGGCGTTATGCTGTCATGTATCTCCTTTGCATGGCACCTTCATTTATCTACCCGGCTGCTATCATGAAGCTGCTATGATATATGTTTATACGTTACAACACGATTGTTAACAGCACTGATGGGTAACACTGCTCATCTTGACAAAGTGTTTTGCTCTACTAGAAAAGCAGCATTCTAATATTTATAAGAATGTTTTTTAGACAAATGCCAACAAACTAAACATTGAAGAAGACCAATCACCCCCCCTACAGGGCAGCACCAGCAGTGTAAATAAGCACACTTGTCTCTAAAGGATAAAATAGGGGTTCCGGGGAATTTATTCTGAACAAATATATTAACACAGTTTGAGGTCTTTGCTTGGTTTTAATAAGTGAATTCTGCCAACATATGCTGATGAGGTTAAGTTGAAACTTCCCAGTGGGACAAAGGCCCTACTAGCTTCTTTAGACAATGGATATTGCTGGATATTATATGGTTATAAGAATAACATGGGCTGAAAATAAAAAGCATGCTTTCTGATTTATTTATTTTGTTTATTAAAATGTCAAAGGTAACCTAAAAACCTCACCCCATCCTCACCTATATTTGAATCATCTTGTAATCATATTTGCATTTAAGCAACATCTGTATTCCAGAAGCTGGTGAAGGGCAGCAAGATGGTAAATGTCCATTCTGCAATTGGCAGAAGAATGTTGTAACTACTCAGCGTGTAGACAAGCAGTTTGCCATGTAAACTCATAAAATGATATATTGCTACATTTAATAAACAAGAGCTGGAAGTCACTAAACACTACAGGCTCAAACACAAATAGGTCTCTGTGAAACATTAAACACAGCTACAGACAACAACTGCCACAATACCAACAATAAATTCAGGAGATGAAAGGTACCCTTGATGAAAGGGTGCATGGTCATGGACATGAAGCGTATCCATTCTGCCTTATTAGTGTTCACCAAGGCATTTGCCCTTGGTTAAACCACCAAAAGGTCAGTTTAAGGTGGTAATGTACAGGTTCTGTAAACATGTGTGCACCCCTGTCCTGTCTGTAATACAATAATCAATATATGATCCTGGCAGATGGCGTCTCAGCAAAGTGATCATCATCAATCTCAACACTGACCTTAAAGACTAATAAGTGACTGAAAGACATGTGCATGTCCTCTTTCTGTGTTAACTTTTTTCTTGTTGCATAAAAAAGTAGGATAGTGTTTTTATGAAAGCTCAAACTGAGGAATTAGTGATAAAAAAGGACTAAAAATGGTTGAGAATTGAGAGCAATCCATCAGAAAATGCAGAAAGCATTGGGAAACACAACGTATAAGAATTGCATGCTTTGTGTTCTTTTTTCTGTTTTCACACCATAAGTGCATGTGTATCTTTTTCAGCCTCTGCTCTTTATAGCACTTAGAATAAGCACAATGTTTTCAAAGAACATCAGCATCTTGATGCTGGTGCTGAGTACAGTAAACGTTCAGTCAGATCATAATGATGTGAGTCAACTGTGGTCAAAGATGATATGTAGACATGGGGGAACTTGGTCAATATTTCTGTGTTTGAGGAAAGATGATCTGCCAGTATGAGAAGCAATGCCTGTGCCGGTGGTTATATGGTAAGGATGGGGATGGATTGTATGGATCAGACAACAGATAGTCTGTGGAAGTTGTTTTTTACCTAACCCAGAGGGATCATGGGTTCATGAAGAAGGAAGGAAGGGAGGGGGAATGTAAGCTCGTGACTCACTCTTTTACACCCACACACATACACTGTGGACTCACTAGTCATCTACTTGGTGATGGAGATGAGTTAATGTGTTTAAGAGAAATAGAAGGATGGTATGATGCAGTTAAATGAGCAAAACATCTACTTTGCAGCTACATTTCCCTGTGTGTAGGTTAATGTACCCGTTTTTGCTATTCTAAAACTGTTATTTATACATATATAAAAGCAGATCTCAGTGGAGCCATTTTTAGCACTGCTGCCTTGCAGCAAGAAGGATTTTGGGTTCCATATCCGACCCGGGGTCTTTCTGCAGGGAGTTCCTGTCTCCCTGTGCATGTGTGGGTTCTCTCCGGGTACTCTGGCTTCCTCTCACAGTCCAAAAACATGACTCTTAGCTTAAATGAATACTCTAAATTCTCCTTAGGTGTGTGTGTGTCTCCTTAGGGTTGTTTGTCCTGTTTGTTTCTGTTTAACTGTGATGGACTGGCCACCTGTCCAGGGTCTACCCCACCTCTCGCCCAAACACAGCTGGAGATAGGCACCAGCACTCCTTGCAACCCCAGCAGGGATAAGCGTGATGGAAATTGGATGGGTGAATGGATGAAAGCAGATCTTAACTCCAGTCTCTTCTCTCTATCCCAGGTTCAGCTTTACCTACAGATGCTCAAGGCCCATCGGTGCCTAGCTCCCCATCATGTACACCCAACACCCCAACAATGCTATGCAGTGGAAACTCTGGGTCCAACCTCAACACCGCTCTGAACATCAGTCTGAATTCAAGCCTTAACTCTAACTACCACATGCTATTTTCTACATCCACAGGTTAGTCAAAGATTTACTGGAATGTAAACGTTTCTTTCACTCTTTTATTTTTGCAGTCATGCAAGTTTAAGCTTCAAATATTCTGATGGTTTACTAATCTGAAAAACTTCCTACCCTCGTAATGCAAATCAGTTGAAAATTAAACACATATTTAGAAGCCATTTTTGACAAAAAATAAGAAATTGATAAATAACTAGGGGGGTTATTCTGTCGGATGAACACATCAGACTCTTCGTTTTTGTATTGTTTGACCTTATCCTAAGCTGTTTACAATAGCTGAAAGTATTGATTGGATGGAGTGGCTGTCACTGATAAGCAAAACTATTTAAGCATGTGGTACAGTATGTTAGATTAAGAAAAGGACTTCTTAAAAGCCCATCTTATTGTAGGAT